CGGGCTCGTCGCCGCGAAGGACGGCGTCGACGTCGGCGGCAGCCGGGAGGCGTGGGGCGAGGCGGGCGCGGACCGACTCCAGAAAGTCCATCAGCGGGCCGAGGCCACGAGTCTGGACGTTGATGATAAAGGCTTCGCAGGCGGCCTTGAGGCGGGTCTCGAGTGCCTGCTTGGCGTCGAGCTCCGACTCGATGATCTCGGGTGTAGCTCCGGTGACGAGCGAGAGCAGTGCGTTTGGCGCCGAGAGAGAGAAGAGCGAGGACGACGAGGCGACGACGCGCGAGACGTACGAGGAGAGGTGGGCAAAGTCGAGCGACTTTTCCTTCATGCGGAACTCGACGTCGAACGGCGAGATCTGCTCCCGAAGAATGAGCAGATGCTTGATGACAAAGAGAAACTCGTGCTGCGGGCCAGCGGCCTTGCCGACCACGCCCGAGGCGTAGACAAGCGAGTTGGTGCACTCGGAGACGTACTCGAGGGCGAGGCCCTGGAAGATGTTGATGTCGACTGACCGGTAGAGCTTGGACAGCGACATCAGCGTCTCGTGCAGCGTCGGGTACCAGTCGGCATACGGGGTGGCACCGTCGGCGGGCGGCATGCCGCTGGGCTTGCCGGTCAGCGCCTCATAGCGGGCAAGCCGCTGCGGGTATGCAATCTCGTGTGGAGCCGGCGAGTAGCCGGCGATGCGGTCGCGGATGACGGTCTGCGCCCGGTAAAAGAGGCGCTCCTGGACGTCGGAAAGTAGCCTGCGGGCGGTGGTGAGGAAGAGGCTGGCGCCCGACTCGGCACTGGACTCAATGTGGCCCTCGATGACCTCCTGCTTGAGGACACCGGCCACGTCGACGAGGGTGTCGAGCGACGACTGCTGGATGATGCAGGGGCGGAGCCAGTCGTAGAGCGGCGTGGCCATGGCGTCAAACCACTCGGAGGCGAGGCCGCCGGAGGGTGGGGTGAAGAACCGCTGGAAGAGCGCGTACTCGAGCGAGGCGACGCGGAGCATGACTAGCGCACCGGAGCGGACCGAATCCACCAACGCGTTCTCGTCGAGTACGCCCGCCAGCTGCTTCTCTACCACCGGCGGTACGAGCTCGAGCCTCGCAGCAAAGTAGGCTTCGTGGAGCGAGGCGAGTAGCGCGGCGTACTCTGGACGGGCAACCCGGGCCTCGACCTCGTCGACCAGTGGGCGGAGCTGCGGAGCCATGGCCCGGAACTGAACATACAGCTCCGACGTGTGGGTCGCCTCGCCGTCGCCGCCGCCGCCGCCGCCGCTGGTGAGCCCAGCGCTGCCGGGCAGGGTGACGTCGGCGAGGCCGGCGGCAACACCGCGAGTGGTGGCGCGGACAACTCGCACAAACTGGTCGCGGAGAATGCCGAGCCCGCGGTGCTGGAGCGAGCGGAAGCGGAGCATGTATGATGCAGCGTCGCGATAGGCCCGATTGGCCGAGACAAAGGCAAGCGCCTCGTCGAGCGTCCGCAGCGCGTCCAGAAACCGCGGCGAGCAGGCGTCGACCTTGGGCGCGTCAAAGACGCGGTAGACCTCGTCGGCAGCATCAAAGTACTTGAGCCGAGCCGCAATCGACTGCGACATGGCCACAAGTGAGGTCTTTTCGCGCAGCAGGCTCTCGCACTCGGAGTGGAGCGCCGCCGACGAGTCCTGGACCGAGGCGTGATGGGCACGGACCTGCTCCACATGGTCGACGGCATCGTCCAGCGCAGCCAGGAGCGCTTTGCTCTCCTCTACCCGCTCGGTGAGCAGGGCGAGGTAGCTTGATTGAGCCTCCGACGACGCGTCCTCCATCAGGTGGGCCACCGATGCGAACCAGGCAAAGAACTGCTGCGACGACTCACAGACCGGGATCTCGCCGTCGATGCCTGTCGCCGACTTGTCCTTTCCTCGCTGGGCCGTCTTCGAGTGTGAGTCATCGGTCTGGGGTGTCGCCGGCTGGCCAGGGAGGGGGAATGATGCATGCGTACCTCTGACAGAGTTGATGATGTGGCGGTATCGGTGGCGGTGCCGGTGGCAGCAGTGTCGGCAGACGGCGAGGCGCGGGCTGAAGGCAGCGGCAGCGGGCGGTCATGAACCAGGCGGGTGAGGTCGTTGACTGCTGTGCGTTCGTTCGGGGAGAGCGGCAGTCCCTGGTTCCACGCTCGCACAGACTGCATGGGTGTGTGTGTGTGGGGGGGGGGGGGGGGGGGGGGGGGGGGGGGAAGAGGGGTGTAATCGTTGGTGACTGGTGCCATTAATCGTTGGCTGGTTGGGGGAGGATTAATCGATGGCTAGGATTGGGGATTAATCGTTGGCTGGTTGGGGGGATTAATCGTTGGCTGGTTGGGGGGATTAATCGTTGGCTGGGTGTGGGGATTAATCGTTGGCTGGTTGGGGGGATTAATCGTTGGCTGGGATTGGGGATTAATCGTTGGCTGGGTGGATGAGGGGGGGTTGGTTGGCAGAGGGAACTGGTCGTTGACAACTTGGCGCCAACCAACCACCACCACCACCACCACCACCGCTCCACCGCTCCCTCCCTTCCCTTCCTTCCGTCCCTCCATCCACCCTCCTCCCCCCCCTCCACACACGCACACACGTCCTTACGATGACTACCGACTATGCCGCACTGTTGGCATCAGCACGGGCCACCCTCCTTGCACGGCGGCAAGAGGAGGCGGCGACAAGGACAGCGGCTGGCCATGCCCTGGTCTCCTCGCTCCAGGCATCGGCAGCACTCGCCGCAGCAGCTGGTCCTCCTCCGCCTGCAGTGGCGGCGGTCGATGGTGATGCATATCTGAGGCCATCGCCAAATGAGGCTGCCGCTGCCGTGGCAAAGTCAACCGCAGAGTGGCGCGCTGCCCGCTTGCAGCAGGTCCGTGCTCAGGAGGCTCTCCGTGCCTCGCTCGTCCGCGATGCCTACGCCGAGAAGACCGCCCTTCTGAGGGCTGATCGCGAGGCCCGCGCACAGGCTCTGGCTGCCGAGGCCAATGCTGCGCGGGCAAAGGTGCTCGAGGACGAGCTCGAGCAGCACTCGCAGCGGCTGGGCAAGGCTCACCAGAATGCTGCCCTCGAGGTCCGCCGCGCCGTCGCCCGCGAAGGCAACGAGCTCAAGGCCGCACTGGCGGCGTACGATGCCCAGCAGGAGCGGTACCTGGCGGCGCTTGAGCGTCTGCGCGGGAGCAAGGCTGCTCAGTCGGCGCGTGCTCGTGCTGCGGCGCAGCGGCGGGAGTTGGTCAAGGACATCGAAGCGCAGCGGGCGGCAGCCGCAGCCGCAGCAGGGGCCCGCCGTCGCGAGGTAGCCGCAGCCGAGGCTGGCGCTGTTGTCCCAGACCTTCCGCGCGACCCAATGGCCGCCATCCTCGCCGGAAAGCCATCGCGAGCGCTAGTGCCGGATCCAGCGCTCAAGTACGCGGTGACGAGGTTCAACGCGGCGCCGCTGGTGCCCGATGTCACGCTTCCGCCCGAGGCCAAGCCCGCTGTTGCACCGCGGCCGCGCGAGACTGCGTTTGACGCCGCTGAGCGGGTGCGCACGACCGTGCGAGCCGAGGCGAGCAAGGCTGAGGATCGAGCCCGTGCCCGCGGCGACGCAGCCATGGCCAAGGAGACCCGCGCGAGGCGCAACCATGCGACTGAGGAGCTGCTTGTTGCCGCCGAGCGCGAAGACCGAAAGCGCAAGGTGGCCGCTACCGTCAATCGCGCCCGCTCGCTGGTGGCGCAAGGTGGGCACAAGCTCCGTTCGGGCGTTACTGACATTGACGAGCGGCGAAAGCATGCTGAGCTCGAGGCAGCGTTCGAGGACATGTTTGTGCCATCGGCCTCGCCGCCGCAGGGAAAGGTTGACGCCCTTGGTGCGCTCGTCTGGCAAGAAGCAGCGCCAGGCGTCGAGCTCCCGCGCCCATTCTCGCCGACGCCAACACCCGCGCCCGACCCAGCACTCGCGTTCGGTTCGCCGACGCGTGACTCGCCCATCAAGACCGATCTGCGCGACGCAGTCGATGCGTACAAGACAGCCCGCGAGGACGCGGTTCGTGCCGACATGGCCGGCTCGCCGTCGGCCGACCCGAACAACGCCGACGCGCGTACAGTTCACAAGCCGCTCGACCTGCTCCGTTTTGTCCGCGAGACCGCGTACGACGTCGATGACACTGGGTTCGAGGCCTCGCCATCACACCTTGCGCGACTGCAGGAGACTCTTGTCCGCGCTCTTCCCGCGGTCTCGGCTGAGGCACTCACGTACTCGCCGTCCAAAGTCCAGATCCTGGCCTCGACGGCCGAGATCGGCTCACCAGCGTGGAACCCGGTGATGGACGCGCTCGCAGCCGGGCGGCTACCGTCACCAAAGATGGATACGCCCGAGAAAATGACGATGGCCTCGCCGTTTGCGGTCACGCCGCTCTCGCCGTCGCCGTCGCCCGAAGACGCGGCAACAGCGGGGCGCGACGGTGACAATGAGCAGCCCGCCTCGCCGGTGGCTTCGCCAACCAAGATGCAAACTTCGGCCTCGTCGATTCGTGACGAGTTTACCGCCTTTCGCCAGAGCATGACCATCCCACTGGGCGGAGTCGACCTCGAGGCGTCCGAGTCGGTCATCCGCGACGTCGCAGCCCGGGAGGAGGAGCGTTCGCAAGTGCTCGACTTGTTGCTTACCAGCATGCGGGCGTCACCCAAGCCCCAGGCCCTTGATCTTGTTGATCCGCCGCTCTCGCCCGATGCACAGGCTCGGGCCGCTGCCAAGCGCGCCGAGCTCGAGGCCCGCTCTGCCGCACGCGCCGCCGCCGTCAAGTCGCGCGCCGACGCCCGCAAGCGGAGCCGCGCCGAGCAGCCTACGGGCGCCGCTACAGGCGCCGCCACAGGCGAGTCGCGACAGTCCGCGCCACGTGCCCAGACGAGGCCTCGGCGGGCTAAGATCAACAAGCGCGAGATGCAGGCCCGGACACGGCGGATGGTCCGCAAGCTCCCCGAGGTCCAGGCCCGCGAGCGAGAGTCGGCCAAGGCCCGCGATGCCAAGACCCGAGTCGAGCGCGCCCGGGCATATGATGCCGAGCTGCGGAAGAAGAAGCGGAGCCGTGCAAAGGAGCCAAGTTTGTAAAGACTCTTGGAGGCCAAGTGAGTACGAGTGTCGCGCGAGAAGCAGGCAGTGGTTGCGCAAGCAGCACGACGAGCGGGTGGAGGTGGAGACGGGGTCGAGGACACACCACCTCACTCTCGTGCGAGTGGCTTACTGGTGCGGGGATATGGACCGCCCGCCTGTGCCGACTGTCGCCGTGGGGCTCTTTGCCCCACCGGTCTCTGGTGCGAGCGAGTCGGGTCCGAGCCTGGCCGCAAGGGGCGAGAGCGAGAGCGGGAGCGAGGGCGCCCGTCGGCGCCGAGCCGAGGCTGTGCTGGAGATGGAGATTGAGGCAGAGCTAGCAAGCCCGAGTCGAGCTCACGCTACTGGAGGCGGAGCTGGCGGAGCTGGAGCTGGCAACGGAGGGAGTAGCGAGAGAACGATCGGCTCAGCTGGGACTGAGACTGAGACCGCGATGGCCGAAGCCAAGGCCGAGGCCGAGACCGAGACCGAGACGTGTCTGGAGCCGCTGGGACGGATGGCGTTTGATATGGACATGCCGCTACTGTCAGCGGCTGAGGAAGAGCGTCTTCGGGCGGTGAGGGGAGATGCAGCGATGTTGCTAAGACTCGCTGGCGGCGAGGAGGACGAGGAGAACGCTGAAGAGGCGCTCAAGATCTCAAGCGCGGGCCTTGGCGCCTCGGGCTTTGCTCCGCGCTCCAAGCAGGAGCTCCTCGCCGACCTTGCCGAGGAGCGTGCGCTCATCAACCGGATGCACGCGATGTACAGTGAGCAGGCCAAGAAAGTTGTCATGGAGCGCATGGCGCTCGAGTCGGAGCTCGCCCAGCTCGAGGCCCAGTCACCGAGCTGATGGCTGGCGGTGGTGATCCAAGCGCACGGTGCTGCGATGAAGCGACGGCGCGGAGTGAATGGTTGTCGACCAAGTGAACCATGTGAGCGAGGAAAGAGATGCAACAGAAAGGGTAGCTAGGCATTGCCGGATGGGTGGTCATCCGAGTTGGGAAGAGCGCGCGCGGCGGGGCGGCCCGACACCCAGCTCACTGACCGGTGGACGCAAGCGGGGCGGAGAGGGCTTGGCGGCAGCACGAGTCAGAGCCCGCGTGTTTGTGTTTACGTGTGTGTGCGTGTAAGACATAGAGCCAGGGGTGTTATGGCGTATGACTATGGCTACGGCTATGGCGGCGGACAGGGGGTGGCTGGCGGCTCGTCAAGCTCGTCGCTGCTGTCGCCGCGGACGGCTGCGCGGCATGTGCTCTTTGATCAGCTGTCGAACGCATCGTCGCTGGCGTTCTCGTTGAGGGACGAGCTGCAGCGGCTGCCGCATCAACTGGATACGGCGGGTGCTTACGTTGGTGCGGCAGAGCTCGATGGTTCGGTGTCAGAGACTGGGTCGAAGAACAGGTATCAGGCGCTGATGGCAGCACTCGAGGCGGCGGCGGCACCGATTTCGGCCTCGTCAGTCTCTTCGCTCGGGACGCGATGGGAGCCCGAGATAGTGCGGGTCAATCCTGTTGCACCCGCCGACGGTGATGCTGCGCAGCGGAGCCGCAAGCGGCCGGCGGCCGATCCGCTGGTCCGTGCCATGGACGAGCTCGAGATACGAACCCGTGGATCGCCGTGGCGGGCACCGGCAAGCTCGGCACTGGCGCTGCTCTCTGCTGTCCCGGTGTACTCGGACGGCGAACAGGGCCGACGGGTGTGGCAGGTGCTTGTCCGCGCCGTCGAGGCTGTGACCACGCTTGTGGGCGACGACAGCAGGCCGCGGCTCGACGCGCTCCCGCACCCCGTCCTTACTGCCAACTATCGGGACGATGATGCGCAACGAGCCGAGGTTGTGGCAACAGAGCATGGAGTGGGAGGTGCCGCGCTCGCGTACGCCGTGCAGAGTCATCTGGGCGAGACGCCACATGCGCCGGACTCTGGTCGCCGCGGTGGAGACGTTCGATTGCTACGTCGGCGGATTTTCGACATTGCCGCGCTGTACGAGGCGCGCATCGCGGAGCTCGAGGACGAGTTGGAGGCTGTCAAGCATGATCCGGGGCCGGCCGCCGTTGTACGGGAGGTGCAGCTTTTGAGCAGCATGGCTATGGTAGATGCGAGCGAGTTTGAGGCCGTAGAGGCCAGATATCGGACTCTAGGAGAGCTGCTGCGCGCGGAACTGGCGGCCAAGGAGAAACAGCTGGCTCTGCTGAGGGGCAAGCTGGCACTCATTGGCGAGTCGGTGTGATAAGGCGGTAATAGGGTGGATGAGAGTGGTGGTGTTGCAAGGGCAAAGCAATGGACGAGATATAAACCGAAAATTTCCCAAATCTCTGATGTTATGTCTTAGCCGCGCTAGCTCAGATGGCAGAGCGCACGCCTTTTAAGCGTCGAGGTCGCGGGTTCGAGCCCCGTGCGCGGTGGCGATTTTTTTATGCGCGGCCTGACCCTCACGCCGCGAACTCGTCTTTGTGGCTCGCCACGTACGAGTACGGCGGCGGGGCCTGGACATGCGCGTTGGGGGCTGGCCAGGGCTGGGTGGCAACGGGGGGTGCGGAACGCATTGGTGGCGCCGTCGCTCCGTAGGCAGAGGAGGGGGCCGGCGTTCGCGGAGGGGTGGCGTCAATCGAGCTCCCGGTGAGCAGGTTCGAGTACGAGCTCCTGCGGCTCGAACGCGAGCGACGGCAGCACGGCGGGGCAGCGCACGAGTCATCCCAGTCGTCCTGGCAGCAGCATGCGATTAAGATGCGTGCGCAGGCACAAACGGCGGTGAGCGGGAGGATGGCGAGGAAGATGGTGGCTAGGAGCGGCCCAGCGGCATCTTGTTGCTCCAGGAGGCAGTGTAGGGGTCGTGTGGGTTGTAGTAGCAGGTATACCAGTTGCCAATGACAAACCGGGCCAGGTATCGGTAGTACGTCGAGTGCGACCAAGAGCCTGTGACGGTGTTGTAGATGACGGTCGAGATGTTGAACGATGTTGCGTGGAGATCAACATAGACAGCAGCACGGTAGCAGTACGTCCGGTTGCAGATCTTCCTCTGCTGCTCCTTGCCGGTCACCAAGCAGTCGGCTTGCTTGTAGTTGACCACGGCCATCTCCTTGGACGCCCACAACCCGATGACCAGGCCGTACACCAGCGCCGCCATGACCGCAAACATGCAGACAAATCCCACCACCGCCTTGCTCTTCCACACGTCGGCAGACTTAATACACGAACACATCCTGTCGCAGCACATGCGTGGTATTTGCGGTGGTGGAGATGTGTGTTCGTAGTGGATAGCCCTGGCGCAGCCTGGGGAACTCGCCCCTCCTCACCCCCCACCTGCTGCACCTTCCGCACGCTATTTGTTCTCAAGACAGATCATGCATGTCCATACTGTCTGACAAGCATCTTTCCTGTCCACATACCGACGTCACAGCAACCGATCTTATCACACGTGTTACACATGCCCCCCCCCCAGGCCCATCATGCCCCGGCTGTGTTTGCTTCCAGTGCGCTTGTCAAGAGAGTCGATGCCCATGCAGATGGAGGTGGGGGGGGG